TCCTGCTGAGGTTATAGCTGATGGTGTTCTCCGTTGCCATGCTCCAAGACATAAGGTTGGAAGGGTCCCTTTCTATGTGACATGTTCCAATAGGTTAGCATGTAGTGAAGTGCGAGAGTTTGAATATCGACAGAACGAGGTTCAAGATGTGGATACTAAATATAACCCAAATAGTTGCACAGATGAAATACTCGAACTGCGATTTGGAAATTTATTGTCTCTGAAATCTACCTCTCCAAATTCTGACCCTGTCAGTGTAGCAGAACAATCCCAGTTGAACAGTAAAATCAGTTCATTGCTGAAAGAGGACAAAAATGAATGGGATCAAATGTTGAAATTAACTTCAGAGGGCGACTTCTCCATGGAAAGAGTACAGGAGCAGCTGCATCAAAAACTACTTAAAGAGAAATTGCGAGAATGGCTCCTGCAGAAGGTGGCCGAAGGCGGGAAAGGCCCTAGTGTACTAGATGAGGGTGGTCAAGGGGTTCTACATTTTGCAGCGGCTCTTGGCTATGATTGGGCCTTAGAACCGACCACAATTGCCAGTGTAAGTGTCAACTTCCGTGATGTAAATGGATGGACGGCACTTCATTGGGCTGCATTTTGTGGCAGGTGAGCACCTCGAACATTTCTTGTCGTCTTTTAAGTCAATTTTGCTTGTGGTTGTCCTTTTTCATCCAATCGAACTTCCAGCGGGCAGGATAGTTCATAACATTATATATAACCCCACATTGTCCTCCACACTTCAAGAGATGATCATTTAGGAAAATCATTTCGGTAGTATATCACATAATTGTTCAGCAAAAATTAGTAGTTAGTTCAAAAAATATTCTAAAGTACATATTGTGATTTCTTTCACTTCGTTTATTTGTCTGTGTTTCCTCATGGTCGCTCGTTGTCTGACTTTAGTTATTGCCCTTTTCCTTTAAACTAGAGAGCGAACTGTAGCGTCCCTCATCTCCCTTGGTGCAGCTCCTGGTTTATTAACAGATCCAAGTCCTAAACATCCCACTGGTAAAACACCTGCTGACCTAGCGTCCGACAATGGACATAAAGGAATTGCCGGTTATCTAGCCGAATCTGCCTTGAGCTCGCACCTTGTATGTCTTAATTTGGATACCAAGGAAGGCAAAGCTGCTGAAACTTTAGCTGCAAAAGCAGTGCAAACAGTTTCTGAAAGAACTGCTACTCGTATAAACGATGGAGATTCTGAACGGTTGTCCCTAAAGGATTCATTGGCTGCAGTGTGCAATGCTACCCAAGCTGCCGCTCGAATTCATCAAGTTTTCAGAGTGCAGTCATTCCAGAGGAAGCAGTTGAAGGAGTACGGTGATGATAGATTTGGAATGTCGGACGAGCAAGCACTGTCTCTTATTGCAGTTAAGACCAACAAATCTGTGCACCATGATGACGACGTACATGCTGCTGCAGTAAGAATACAAAATAAGTACCGTAGTTATAAGGGTAGGAAAGAATTTTTGATTATCCGACAGCGCATTGTTAAAATTCAGGTGAGCATGTCTCTTTCTTTTAGCTATCATCATTGTTTGTTATGTTTTAGTGTCGATCCTTATTATTATTATTTTTTAATTTGGTTGGTGAAAGGCCCATGTAAGAGGTCACCAGGTCAGGAAAAACTATAGAAATATTATCTGGTCCGTGGGAATTGTCGAGAAGATTATCTTGCGTTGGAGACGAAAAGGAACTGGATTACGCGGGTTTAAGTCGGAAGCTCTAACCGAAGGATCCAGCATGCAAAATTCATCGTATAAGGACGATGATGATGATTTCCTAAAAAAAGGTAGGAAGCAAACTGAGGAAAGAATGCAAAAGGCACTTACTAGGGTCAAGTCAATGGTTCAATACCCCGAGGCAAGAAATCAATACCGTCGGCTGCTTAATGTCGTTACTGAGATTCAGGAAAGCAAGGTAATCTTCCTCTCTTCTGGCATTTTTTTCATTTAGCCTGCCCTGGTAGTTGGTTTCAAAATTGTGTAGAATACTAAACCCTGCCTCATCACAGCGTTTGTCATAAAAAAAGAAAAGCCATTATCTTAATCATGTTATTAAAGGAAAAGAGTCTAACGCATTGCTGAGTTGGAATATTCGACTGCCTTTAACTCTCTTGGGCTTGCGCGATGAACTCGTTTTTCTTTTATGCAGGTTCTGTGTGATGTTATGAATACCGAAGAAGCAGCTGATTTCGATATTGATATTGAAGCATTGTTAGATGATGACACTTATATGCCCGCAGCTGCGCCGGAGTGACCCTCTGTTCTCGTATTTCTTCCCCTGTAAAATATATCGTGCACTAGTTAAATTAGACTTTGACATAATGCTGTGACAAGACATTAATAAAATTCTTATGTAATACTACCAATTCTTTTTAACTCGTAAATGCAGTTTGTGATATGCCTTCTTACAAAAGAACTTCATGCCTATTTTCTTTTTTGCCGGTAAAATCTTATGCCTCAGTTCTCTAGTAGGAATTCTGAATTGCCTCAGTCAGTTAAGAAGATAATAAAAGTGTGAAATATTGTTTTAATTGTCAGATTTTTAAGCGGATTACATCATTGCATCAAATTTGGATGGCGAATAATTAATTGAGTCAAGCTTATAAGCGCCTCATTTAAGACGTTAAATCTACGAGCACCCCTATTCACTGCCATAGTGATATAACACCACACCACACTAATACACATGGTGGGCCATGGGATCCACAACTTTGCAAATGTGGGGTTAGTTCCACGGGGATGAATAACATATTTGTAGTTCTGCTCCTCACTATCAGATAGTAGTTGGTAGTAATTGAGCACATTCCAATTGCATTGCAATTCTAATGTTGTTCTCAGCCATGAAAATTACAAACATGTGCCTGTGCAAGACTGCGAGTTTTCTCACACAACATATACACTGCTGCTTTTCCTCTTATTGTGGAAAAAGAAAGAAGAAGAAGAAAAAAGTAATACTTTCACCATTCCACTGTACATGCCAACCACCTAAGTATACATTTTTGACAACCCATAACTCATTGATATTTGACATCTCTTTTCCACAGGTTGAAAGGGAAAAAGAAAAGAGGAAACAAATTAGAATATGAAAAAGGGGGAGTAAAGTGCGTCCAATGATTAAAATATCCTAAACCCTCTCAAAATCCCAAATCCCTCTTCTCAGCTCTTGTTGCTGGTGCCAAGGCTCTCATAGAACAAGATGTACCCATGATCCGTATTACTTGAGTACTCCTGCGCCGAACCAAAGAATGTTTGAACAGCAGACTCGTCTATCATCTCGACATTTTCGTCATCAAAAAATAACCAGTGGTTATGGCTCTTCACAAGGCTGACATAGTGTCCATGGTTTGGCCCACTGCCAACATGGACAACGACAGCAAATAGAGAATATTCCGAGTCTGCATCCTCCACAGTGTTGCTTAGCTTTAGCTCCAGGGGGAAGACGACACGGTAAGACAACTTCTTGTAGCGGCCGAGTTGTTCAATATATTTGAAACGCTTTAGATGGATTACCAGGATGTGAGGTGGCTTCTTTATCTTCATCCTCTTCTGAGCTTCTTGCAAACTGCCATGGCAACAACCTCGGTTTAGTTTTGAACTTTTCCCAAACTAAATAAAGTTTTTTAGAATTAACCATTAAAATTCAATGTGAAACCAATATTGCCCCTTTGTTTAAATTTTTTAAGTTGATCTAGTCTAATAAATAGGCAGTTATGATTAAGGAGGTCAATTATAGAAATATCACTACTATAAAAAGGTAGTTTTGAACTTTTCCCAAAAAAAATGGAAGTACCTTGAACGTGCAGTGCACTCGGGCAAAAAATTTCAAGCCAAATCAACAATCATAATGTATCAATGTCATCTTTTAAATGCAGTGACACTGAAGCAAAACATACTTCGAAAGAAGGATGAGAAAAAATAAAAATTTGGGCCTTTTCCATTATTTAGCACCAGATAAACCTAAATCAAATCACTATATCACCAAGCAAACCCAGAAGTTTATTCCCTAGACGTGCATAAATAGGATTACACATCAAGCAGACACGCACTAACAGAGTCCACCAGGCAAGTATAACAAATGAGGAAGCTGGTACTGTAGAAAAATGAGAAAAAATCACCTACCTGCAGCACTTATCACAGAAGAATTTGTCCTCAGCATTCAACGTCTCTGTAGAACTGAAGTTCTTCAAACAGCTTGTTATTGAACTGTTCTGTTCAATATCAAGGCTCAAATCAAAAAAGGTTTCATCCCTTGCTGTCACCGTCTCACACCGCAAGCACTTTGTTTCATTGGTGAGGATTCCCTGAGATGGACATTAAAATTGTGAGGCTTTCATTTAGTTTTCCAGAATAAATTAAACATCAAATGACACATGATGATTTTTATTTGCATATATAACCAATAGAGATTATTAGTTCTCTTCATAAAATAATAATAATAATAATAATAACCAAATAGTTCAACAATGAACAAACAGTATGCTCCACTAAAGCAGACCTGTCAAACATTAATGTACGATATGTACATACAATACAAAATGGCGCATAGGCAGGCATAATCATATTTTTTTGATACAAGACGGGATTGAACCCGCAATCCCCCACTCAAACCCCACCCCACCCAAACCCCCCAGTGCCACTAGACCAAGAGGTCTTAGGCAGACGAGCAACATCATTATATATTTTAGAATTACAAATAGGTTTTGCTAAAACCAATAAATGAATTCCAAAAGCAATTGACCTGAAAATTTTTGTGCACCCAGGTGACGAGAGGCTCTTTTTGAGTACTACCATTAGCCTGAGCACTCTTTGGCCCATTGGCCACATTTTCAGAAGGAGATGAAGATTCTTGATCACTTTTTGCAGCTTGAGCCTCTTTCTCCAATATATCAACAAGCTCGTTGAGCAAGAAATTCAAAAATTCATGGGCATCCTACATAAACAAACGAATAGAAAGATATCATAGAGAATTAATCGTCTTAATGATTTCTATATCTGAAGAAATATAGTGGAAGAAATTTTGCCAACAATCAATGGAATTTGAAAAGAAATTGTTAGATTGAAGCAGGAGGCAGGCACCAGTAGACAGAGGAAAAAGAATTTCCTTTTACATAAATCCTTCTATCAACTAAGAGTACGTGAGAAAATGCTGGAGCTTGAAAGCACAAGTACAGACGTGATATACAAATAAAATAAATATAAAAAAAAAAAAGAAGCTAATTTTACTCTTTTACTTATTCAAGGATCAAACTGCATTCCAAAGAGTGAACGTGCTATACCTTCATCAGTGTAATGTTCAATCCTTCAATGAATGGTGCTTTTGCACCTTATAGAATCCATGTTATAACCGTAATAATGCTTATGCTTATCATAATGAGAATTTGATGTTAAAGTACAACGCGAAAAAATAATGACATTCCACCAAAGAAAAAGCGCATCACGAAAAATAATGAAAATTCCCAAACAAAAAAGTGCAAATCAGTTGTCATACTGAAATATATACCTGGTGCATATAGCTACGGAAAAGTTCATTTTGTTTTTTTAATCTCTGTACGAAGCGCTTTGGAGCAATGACACCTGTTTTCTTCTTCTGGGAACTTATCTGCAAAAAAAAAGATAAATTATCAAACCACACAGTATAGACTACTTCAGAAACAAGCCACACTGTATAGAATAATAAGAGTTACATTGCCCAGTTTTCAGAAAGCATATCACACACACGCCCAAAGTTCAAAAAGCATATCACACACACACCTCAGAAGAGATCGTTTTCTGGCAAAAATATCATAACAATATATCACACACCTCAGAAGAGATTGTTTTCTGGCAAAAATATCGTAACAATATATCACACACACCTCAGAAGAGATCATTTTCTGGCAAATATATCGTAACAATATATCACACACACCTCAGAAGAGATCGTTTTCTGGCAAAAATATCGTAACAATATATCAGTTCCGAAATCCTAGTTAGTTGACAATTACTTCCAAAACTTGTGTATTCAGTAAAAATGTATGAAGGTCAGAAAGTACAACAATAATATGACCTATTCTTTCTTTCTTTCTTTTTTTTTTTTGAAAAGAAACAGAACTATTATCAATAAAAAAGTTGATGGTGATGTATAATAGAGCAAGAGCTTTCCTCACATAGGACTAAAAAAAAGCAAGAGAACTTAAAAATTAGCTTAACTAAGGAACAGACCCAAACAAAAAGGACCAGTGACAGAGATGGACTACAAAAAAGGGGTCACTCCTAATCAAATCTGAAAAAAATGGCCTACCAAAAAAGGGGTCACTCCTAATCAAATCTGAAAAAAATGGCCTACCAAACTCCTTATCCCTATACACCCAAGTAGAAACCCAAAACTTATTTTTCCCAAAGGCCCTTACAATCTCCCTCGATAGCTTCAAATAATATGACTCATTTACCAACATAGAAAAACAAGAACTGTTTCATAACCAAAAATTGAAAACACTTAGGTTGCGTTTGGTGTGAGGGTTCAAATCAGGGTTGTTTTAGTTTTAGAACTAGAACCATGATTTATAGTTTGAACTTAGGGTTCAAACCATAGTTCTGGAACCGGAATCAGAACCAGAGGTTTGAACCATCCAAAATCAAGGGGGGAGGTGGTTTTATAATTTGGGGTAGTTATGGTTTAAAACATCACATCAGGATTCAAACCTTGAACCAAAACCATCCAAACCAAACACTGATTTTCAAGAACCATTTTTTACTTTTTGCAAACAAACAAAAGTTTGAACCAGAATCATGGTTCCGATTCTAGAACCCTCATACCAAACGCAACCTTACTGTATTGGGAAAAGAGGGAAAATTGGATGAAACCAAACTATGAATATACGAGAATAAAGCATCAAACCACCTAGAATCTAGCTCATTCACACAGCCAACTTCAGTAGAATGGCATGCGAACTAACAACACTATCATAAGGATCCCTGAATATGGGGGCGAAAAGCATAAAAAGAAAATGGAAATTATCTAAAATACAACATTCAAGTATCTCGTTGGGTCCTTACCTGGCTAAATAAGTCAGCTAGACACGTCAAGAGATTTTCTTCCACATCCCCAATGTTTTTGTTATTCGAATAATACTCTAGCAACTGTTCACGAAACGGAACACAAAAATACAGGGCCTGAAAAAATGACAAAGAAAGAAACAAGTAATAACGATCAGCAATCAACTTTAAAATGTAACAAGTCCTCACAGCTCATTTTAAACAAACACTACATATCACATTAGTAGAAAGTACCATCAAGCTTTTGTAGTGCTTCTTTTTTCTTTTTCTTTTTTTTTTGTCATCAAGGTTAAGAGAAAATTTTAATTAGCCAGTATCATCTCTTGACGCCTAATTCGGACTGAAAGAAGATAACTAAATAATTTCCTTTTAAAATCCCGAAAACTTTTCTTCAGATATGGTCAAACTTGAAATCATATGCTAGAACATAAATCAGTTTGGTCAACTAGGTTCTCTTTTATTTTCTCTTGTTATAAATGGCTAAAAGAAGAATGGTACTTCTTAATTTCTTTCAATTTTCGTAATTTCTTTCATTTTTTTCCTCCTCTCTAAGGTTGGAAATGAACCAAATATACTGCAAGCACCAAACCATAATGCAAATCACATATTATTTACTCCTGCAGCGTCACCAAAAACAAAGAAGAGGTCCTTTTCTGACTCAAATGGATCCAATTCCACAAAATCCATCTTCCTTTCTCATATAGATACTTTGCAATGACAAATTATTTCAGATCCTAATTCCAACACCAACACGAAAAAGGACTGCCTTTCCGGCAATCGAAGACTACGCTACTGTATCTAAGAATGTGAGAAAATTAAAAAGCACATGAATTGTATCCCGTGTGGAACGAAAATCTCAAATCCTACAATTCTCACGAATATGACAATGATTTTCCAAGTAACAAAACAATACTTTAGTCTCTCTCTCTCACGTCAAAATCGATTGCGGAGAGTCAATTACGAGTATCCTAGCGAAAGACGAACAACAGAAGCTAAAAATCCCAAAGTTTTCCGATCAAAAATCAGAGCTGAAGAAAAACCTGCAAGACGCTATTGCAGTAGCAAGTGTTGCCGAAATTCTCGAGGCCGAAGTAGCGCTCGCCCTCAGGAAACTGGTCGCCGAGAGCTTTCTCGAGTTTCGAGCCCGCAGCCCCCATCAGCGCGCGCCAAAGCGAAGCAATCGAATCCAAATCGCCGGCCGAGAAGTAACCAGATCCTCACGTCACGCCTTCCGATTCAACTACGCCACTCGCATGCGGCCGGCGATTCGCTTGCCGTCCGGTCGCGTATCGTTGCCTCCGGCGTCTCTGCGACTTTCCGTCGTTCGAATTTTAGGGTTTTGTTTGGGAGGTGAGAAAATTTGGAGGAGACGAGGGTTTCGTTGGAAATGGAGACGGAGGGGAAGAGGGAGAGAAAGTAAGAGGAAGAAAAAAGAAAGGAAAAACTTGAATAAATAAATAAATAAATATAGATAGTGAATAATTTAGGATTATTATCATAAATGTCCTTTATATTTATCTTATTTCAAAATGGCCCTTAAATTTATAAAACAGTTCAAATTACTTCTGATTTATAGAAAATGATTCAAAATACCCTTCATCTAAGTCCGTGTATGATGTTTAACGGTTTTGTTGACGTGACACTATTTTAAAAGATTAAACTTAAATTAAGCTCACAAAAGGAGATTAATTATTAAAAAAACAATAAACGAATTCAAAATCCAATTATTAAAATAAATTAAAATGAAATATTCTTCCTAATTCATTTGCCCATTGCGGTTTGTCCTCTTCCGCCTTTAGCCACTTCTTCTCCTCCCTCGACCAAGGTAAACTACAATGTAACGAATAAAAGAAATTGTGAGGAAATTGATTGCCTTCCTTCTCTTTTTTTTTTTTTTTTTTTTGGTTTAATGGAAAAAAGGTATTCAAAATTATTGGGAGATGTTTAAGGATTGGAGTGGGCGTTTCTTTTCCAATTCTGCCATATGGTTGTTCGTTGGTTTGGGAAACCCAGGTGATAAATACACAGGAAGTAGACATAATTTATCAATCACAGGAAGAAGCAAGACCCAGATTTACGTAAGTACTCAGCAAGAAAAGCTCCAGATCATCTTCTAAGCCGCCTCGACCGCCGCCACCTTCATCTTCTTCGCCTTAGTCTTCTCCGCCACCTCCGCCGCACAGCCGCCATTCTGACCAACGAAACGTTTTTCGTCCCGAGTTTCGAGTTCCGCCCACCTTGTCCAACCAGATCCGCTTCGTGAGCACGTCCTTCACGAACCCATAATTATTTAATCAAGTTTTTTCATTTCTTTAATATTTTTAAATATTTAATCATTTTACAGACTTAATTAACACTTAATGGCCTTAATTATTTTTTAATTGATCAACAATTCTGTTAAGTTTATAGAGGGAACATTTTAAATATTTTTTTATATTTCAAATATTTTTGAACTGTTTTAAAAAATTATGGAGTATTTTAAAATAATGTTCATATTTTAAGGACATTTATAAAAATAATCTTTATTATTACTAAAAATAAAAGGAAACAATTAGATAAAATAGTTGGACAAAATTTTAAGCATTTTTTTCTTGGAAAATAATTTTTAGCAGTTTTTTGTCGTTCCACAATTTGTTAGTGGAAACTCCAATCACGTGCGCCGAACTGGAAATCAGATAAAGTGAGCTGTAATTGTGCTTCCAGGTCAGGTCCACAGAAAAGACTGGATTTTTCACTTTGGGCTTCCCTCCCATGAAGTAACGCACCTTAGCCACTATCCGTTTTAGATTTTTTTTTTTTAATAGAAGTTTTAGATATTAAACTTTTTAACTTTCGGAGATTTGGTCAGAGAAAATGAATTATTGATTGTTCTCTATTTTTAACAGTAATTTGATTTCTGTATACTTAATTTTTTAATATGATGTTACTTTAAGATGATTTAACCTTAAAAATTGATCTTAATAATATGGGGTCCCTGTCAAAGAAAGTTTCTTTTTGCATTGTTTCTTGCCTAATTTCTTTTTTCAAGTTCTTTTTTTTTATTTTTTTATTTTTTACCCTAAAATTTTTTTATTTTTTTATTTTGTATGTTTTTACACTTTTTTTTTTATTTTTGTCATAAAATTTATTTTTCTCTGTTTAGATTCCTTTTATCCTAAAACTTATTTAATTCTTCATTTTAATCCTTTTGACCCCTTTTTATTTTTTTTCTGAGTCTTTATTCTTTCATTAGTTTGTTTTGCCTTAAAACTTATTTATTCTTTCATTTTAATCCTTTTTTATTCTTTTTAATTTTTGTCCTAAAATTATAATTTTTTCATCTTTCTTCCTTTTATTCTAAAACTTATTTATACATTCATTTTGGACCTTTTTGACCCCTTTTTTATTTTTGCACTGAAACTTTATTTTTTTTTCATTTTGATTTTTTTTGCCTTAAAATTTATTTATTTCTTCATTTTAGTCTTTTTGACTTTTTTTGAGCTTCTTTGTCCTAAAACTTTATTTTTTTTAATTATGGTTCATCTTTGAGATTTATATTCAGATTTTATATGCTTTTAATAATAAAATAGTAATTAGAACTTAACACACGGATTACTCCCCACGTGCATCACATGTCGGGTTCAACTACTATATATATATATTTATCCTTTCGATACGTAGTTTGTCAATTAAAATTTTTTGTTGCTTAAACAAGTTATCTTTTAGAGTTTTTACGGTGAGACCTTTTAAAAAAACTCACCAGTCAAACACCCTATTTTTACCGTTAAATTAAGTTTTTAACGGTTAAATTTATATAAATTCTTATTAAAAATTTATAACACACTAAACATAAATACTCACTGTATAAATTTAATAATTAAAAAAAATAATCTAACGGTCAAAAAAATAATATTTCACCGGTAGATTTTTTAAGGCAACCTGACAGTAAAGAAAGCCTATCTTTACATACATATCTTTTACATCGAACTTTTACTCCATGCTCTATTATTTGTCACGTGTCAGCTTCTATATTTTTTCTTTTTGCTTTTACTTTTTAATTTTAGTAGTTTTTTTTTCTTTTTTTTTCTTTTTACTAAATGCTTTTTTACAATCTACTTTTGTTCGTGTAGCAAAAAAAAAAAATCTACTTCTGTTCACAACGTTCTCTTTTAAAATACGTTTTTTTTTTTTTTTTTTTTTTTTTTTTTTTTTTTTTTAAAAAACTTTTGGTCCTTTTTTTTTTTTTTTTTTTTTCGTTTTGCTTCTATTAAAATAACTTTGGTCACATGTATCCTTATTTATTTTTTTCTTAAAGATTCTGATATTGTTTAATTCTTTCTCCATGTACCTTTTTGTAATATTTTTTCACTCGTACTTCTATTAATTTTTTTTTCAAATGTGGCCCTACCTAATTTTTTTCATTGTTACATAATATTATCAAAGTCATTCTTTTAAATAGTTTTAGTTGACCCATTAAAAAAAATTTTCATAATCATTTTTTTGAGAAAGGAGATAAATACTCGTTAAAATGTATGGGTCGAATTTTTACCATTTACTTTTGATTAATATCATTTTTAGTTAAATAATTATATTAGTTAAAAAATATTAATAAAGAGTAAGAGATAATAATTCAAACACATGCATTCTAAAGATAAATTCAACAATTTTTTTTTTTTTTTGAAAATTTTCTTTCTTCTGATTCATTTTCTCATACGTATTTTTCCTCTTATTTGTTTATGTAAAGATAATTTCTTAAATATGTCCACATTTAATTTTTTTTCCTAATAAATACTGCCTAACTAAATTTGTGTTTAATTTGCCTGCAAAAATAATCTACACATGTTATTATAACTTATAATCTATAATCATTTTTAGTTAAATAATTATATTAGTTAAAAAATATTAATAAAGAGTAAGAGATAATAATTCAAACACATGCATTCTAAAGATAAGTTCAACAATTTTCTTTTTTTTTTTTTGAAAATTTTCTTTCTTCTGATTCATTTTCTCATACGTATTTTTCCTCTTATTTGTTTATGTAAAGATAATTTCTTAAATATGTCCACATTTAATTTTTTTTCCTAATAAATACTGCCTAACTAAATTTGTGTTTAATTTGCCTGCAAAAATAATCTACACATTTTATTATAACTTATAATCTATAATCTTTAATCTAATTATATCTAATTTAACATATGATAAGTGTATGAAAATACACCATAAATACTACTTTTAATTTATATAATATTAACATATTTAAACTTTAATTAAACAACTCCATTATTTTTATTCAGATATTTTAAATTAGAATTTGTCTAGTTTTTACTTAATTATTTGCAGAAGAAAAGTACTGTAAAAAGCTACACAAAAAAAAGTCATGAAAGTCATGTTTTCAGCCAGTCAGCTGAGCCATATAGAGAGAAAGCCGCGTCAGCCAAGTCGAGCCACCAAGCCAAGTTCCGCGTGGGCCCCGGCATTCATCCTCTTTCCC